AAATCAAAAAAGTGCGCCTTATATGCGTGAAATTGGGGTAATTTCTAAAGCAATCACTGCAATCACTGCAGTGCACAAATTGCATTTTTTGACATTTCATTTTTGAGTTTTCCCGAAATAATCACGATTAGGACATGATCTGATTAAGAGGTGATCTCTGCTTCTCCTACTACATCGTTCCCAACGCTGATCTCTTGCTACTCCCCTAACTGACCAAAACCCGTTTTTATCACATGCGACCCCAAGATTGATTCCATCAAGCAATCTTTTGCACCTCGCTGAACTTTTCTTATAATATAGTAGAGTTATTACAACTTACTACTTTTCATTCGAAAATTTTCAAGCGATGGCCAGCATTGTTGTTTACGTAGTGTAGTGAACGCTTATCATTTCTAGTCTGGTATCACGCTCTCTTATCGCAAGAACAGAGTGCTCCATATAACATTTTGAAGCACAGCAGCATATCGGACAGGCTTGTTCTCAACTTTTTCTTGCTAGACATACCCGCTTTTCTCTTTTATCAAAATGTCGTAGATTTGAGTGGTTTAGAAGGCGTATATCGTTTTAGCGCGCGATTTTAGGCAGCTTTTTGTTTATTAGAAGGCTGAAAATATCGTTTTTTTAGTCAGTGAAATATTTTTGTGCGTTATTGTAAGTGTGGTTAATAGAAAAATTACGCTTATCTCTTTCGAAATATGTATGATTAGAATACTTCATCCCTACCGTTAAATTATTCCACTTCCTCATAGCATTACTTTTCCAAAACAACTTTCCAAACTTTTTCCTATTTGCCTCCGCATTTCCCCAGATTTTCATAACTGACCCGGCCACAGTATATTTATGTTATACTAGATTTTTCATCTCTATTTTTCACTTCTCAAATTCATCTCAGAGGTAATGGCACTTCGCTTTGACGGAAAGGTGGCTATTGTGACTGGTGCTGGTGGTGGTCTGGGCCGAACCTATGCTCTTGAACTTGCTAAACGAGGATGCAAAGTCGTAGGTAGGAAGAGTAAACTCGTCCACAACACAGCTTATTTTGTTTATTGGCCGGTTTGGAAATTAAACACACACAAATGAATTTCGTAAAAACTTCGAAAGTTCTACGGCTTGTTTTGAGCCTAACCGATTCGTTTGGTTTCTATTGGTCTTGTGAAAAATTCCATTGTATTTGGCGTTGACCTCTCTGGTCAG